CTACAGCCCACTTCTTCGGATGCATATAGGATGCTATATGCATCCGAAGAAGTGGGCTGTAGTCCACGAAAGCTTATGCTCTAATAAATTTGTTAGTCTCTAAGGTGCCACAAGTCCTCCTGTTCTTCTTTTTGCGGATACAGACTAACACGGCTGCTACTCTGAAACCTTTCATTATGCAATACACTCCTACTGAAGCTAGCAGGAGTTTCAATTGAGTAAGAACTCAGTAAGGACTTCTGAATTTGGCCCACAGAAGTCATCTCAGATTTCATTACCAAGCGTTGCCTCCTGAAAAGCCAGAACCAGTAAGAACCAGAGTTGAGAGCAGGATGCTCAGCTGATGGGGAAAAAAATCTCCATTATAGCTAAAATCCAGCAATGAGCACATTGTAGGTACAGGGACTTCCATCTCTTCACCTGAAACCTAACTTTCCCTGGTGAATATATGATCCTTTATGGTTCAGTTCCACTTTTTCAAAGGGTAATTGACACTGAACCTGTTCTTCCTTTCCCCTGACTCTCTCTTCAAGCCAACAGATTTTATGGGAATTTTTACTGTTGTATTTAATGCTTCGGGAACATATAGCTAATTAAAGAAGTTCCCAACATGCCTGTGAGGTAGATAGGCCTCATTTTGCCCAAGTTTTTCCAGTTTTACTTTGGAAAAATATTATGAATGAAATTTTTTTGACCAGCTTTATACTCATCAATAAATTTGAGGAAAACCACAATCTGCTTATGAATATTATGTGGGCAGAAAAAGAGGTTATATTCACTGAGTAAATTCCTCTTTCCCAACTCTGCATTAGGCTCTACCAAATGCCACTTTCGCTGTTTAGATTCCTAAACCCTGGAGGGAAAAATCAAAATTGTTTCAATTGGACATTAGTATAATAGTGCCCTTCAAGTATTACTTCACAATGGTGCCAAGGGTGTTAGCATGTGTGACTGTGCTCCAACAATGCAAGGGTGTTCTCTGTGCCTCCCATAGGCAGAGTAGTCCTTGCAAACCAAAAAGATGAGGTTTGGAGACAAAATAAAAACTAGTTCCATGACATCCTGTAGACTAAAATGCACCCAAGATATCCCCCGGTGTGGCTAACCTCATTTTATTTCCCACAGACACAAGAAAGTCTCACAGCCATGGGGTACCTATCATGTTAATTTTTGCTTCGAGGAGAGTTGTGTTTGCCGCTTTGTCTTTAATGAGACATCCTTGCCAAGCAAGCATTCACAAGGCATTTTCTGCTCCTGCAGAGGAGTAATTAGGTCGTTGCCTCGTTCCATGCCAATGTTAGCCACTCCAAAAACCCAACCCTGCCCAGTCATTAATGCTTAAACACAAGCAGCAACATCTCCGCTAATTGGTCTTGATGAAGTTCTGACGTTCCCAAAGGGCCTCTTCATTTCACCAGACTCAGGAACGGGATTGACACGGGATGACAATATCATCCTCACTGATCATCTGCATTGTGGGGCTTTTCTGTTCTCTTTGTTGTCATTATTTATTACAGAAAGGAAAAAAATAGCTATTGGAAAAAAATTGACGCAATGAAAATGCCTACCAAAAAAGCCACATAATAGTCAGCCCAACTGCTTTTGAAATCTTACACAAAAGCTGGCAAAAGATATGTTCTAAGAAACAAACCAGCAGAACTTCTCTCACATGCAATAACTCTGGCTCCAGCATTTATATAATCACGCACTTCTGTGCTGACTGTTTAGTCACTCAATGCTGGCCTTATGGATCCCAAGCTGCGGTGGATGATCCTGCTTTCAGAGGACAGCAAGCTAGCCCATGAACTGTGAGGCCCCCCCTGTCTCACCATCTCCACAAGCAAAGGGACCTCCCCACCTCAAAGCAATAACTTGCACTGTTTGTGCTTAAGGCCAATCCTGCATTCATTTGACGGCTCTGATACTGGGCATCTTGTTCTGGAGCGTTGTGCACAATGGAAAGGGGGAGCAACGCTAATGCTGCTTTAGCATGTCAACTGCAAAATGAAGGGGAAGGGGAGGAAAAGAAAGACCTATTCATAAACCACAAGCTGGAAACAGAACATACTACTAACTTTGTTGAACATTTTCCACATGGCCTGGGAAAAGCCCCGTGGACAAAACATCATCTCCTGATTTGCTTTCTTTTTGCTTTGCTTTTTATCAGATCTAACATATCCCTCTTGGGATCCTGTGCATTGAAAAACTGCTTTCAGGCCCCACATCAGGGAGTTTTGAACCACTGGGCAGGCTCATCAAGCTACATCAACTCCCTAAAGAAAATACGTGTTGCCAGATAATTAGCAGGCTCTGGTATTAGCCATTTAAACATGGCCATGGCGTGGTAGGGATTGGAGCCCAGCTACTGGCTATGGACAGAACCCCCTGAGCTCTTAACTCCCTTTCAAGTTCTTCTCTTTGCTTTGATTCTATTCAGTAAAATGCAGCCCCAGAAGAGCCTGTCATTTCTCAGAGCCTCATCCAGATGTTAGTCAGGCTCTGGCAGCAGGGTTATTCAAAGCATTAGTAGTATTTGCTTTTTTACAAGACCCAAAGTTGTGTAGGAACCCCTCAGTGCATATAAATCACCTAAGGTCCCTGCCTGGAAGAGTATACATTAATGTGTACTGTTCATTCACCACAGGGAAGAGGGCATTTGCTTTTAAAACAGTGTGTACAACATGGGGAGAACAGGGGACACTGGATTTCATTGGTGCTCTTGCTCTTTATTTAGTTTCAGGTCTGTGAGGCTAGGGGAGAAGAAGAATTAAAATGACACAGTCCTAATAAAAATCATTGGCCAAACCCTGCCCTCCTTACTCACTTAGGGACAAACTCTGCCTGGCCCATATATGAGAATGCACTGCGGGGGGTGGGGGTTGCATAAGGAGTCCTTGCTTCCCACATAAGGACCTGGCAGAATTCCATTTCTACTCCCTCTATATTCCCCTAGGGGCACACAATGCTCCAAAGAAGGGTGGGAGTAAACCATGGGGAGGCAGGACCATGGGGTGTAGTGGCCTTGTGAGTCAAACATGGCTCTATACCACCCCTAATTATGGGCTATACCTACAAGATGTGACTGAGGTCTTTATTATTAATATTATTTGTTAACAATATTGCCAGGGGCATTGGGGGAAGAGTTGGCAGCCCTACTTCCTGGTTCAGGAGTTCAAGCCCAAGCCCTGTAGAGTTTGGGTTCCCAATACTGAGGGGAAGGTTTAGTTATTATTATTATTATTATTAGTTTTAAGTTTATTTTATTATCATTTGTACTTGAAAATTTCAATGAAAATAATTTTGCTAATGTTACATTTTGTAAAATCAGTGCTATTAATACAGGTTTGGGAGGACAAATATTTTTAAACACTAGACAATGCTTACATTTTGGACCTAAAACTATTTGACAATTCATTTTTAGCAGAGGGCTTATTTCATAAGTTTCTCTTATTGCCATGAAATTCAAAGAAAGACACTTCCTTGCCCTCCAGGTCAAAATTAACAAAGGTGATGAGTGCATAAGGGTTCGAGCTAAGAGGTCTTTGCTCTACTGTCTGAAAAGCCTCCCAAAGTAGCATTGTAACCGAGTGGTATGCTGAAAAGCTGATCAATAGGAAATGAGGCACTTGCTCTTTATACTACCTTTGGAAATATTGCTCTGCAATGTTGCAGAACACCCTTGAGCAATCCGTGTTGTCAGAAGCTGTGATGCCCTTCCAGATGTTGAGTTGCATGCTGGTGCTTCTAGGAATGAGTACAGCTATTATATGGGAAGAGGGCCATGTGTTTGATGGTATGTCTGGTGATTTAACTGAGCCTCCATCAGAGCTCATAACACTGGTTTAATCTACTATTAAATCCAGAGATGGGCCCATCCCCTGAAGATTGGATCCAGATCCAAACTTTCTCTAAATTCTGGAGTCTTCATGTGAGAGTTTGCTTTTGGTTCAACCCTTTTTAGGCTTGGTCTACACTCACCCCCCAAATCGAACTAAGGTACACAACTTCAGCTACGTGAATAACGTAGCTGAAGTTCGAAGTACCTTAGTTCGATCTTACCTCGGTCCACACGCGGCAGGCAGGCTCCCCCATCGACTCCGCGGTAGTCCTCTCGTCTAGCTGGAGTACCGCAGTCGACGGCGAGCACTTCCGGGTTCGACTTATCGCGTCCA